GTCCCATTTAGTGTTCTTAATTATGATTGGTAATTTTTAACTTTAAACTCTAAGAAACTGTGCAGTTGTTATCTAACTTACCAATTAATTTAGGGATTTAACCAGTGATTAACAGCCTTCCTGATCTTTTTGAGAGGAAAAATATATATTTTTGTTTTGGTTCAGATAAATACAATTTACACATTCTGCAGATTCTTTAAATTTAACTACTTAAGTCTTTTTTATACAATATTAAACATGCAGTAAACTATACACATGTAAAACTAATTTCTTTTTTAAATATGAACATAAACATTTTATTGCCTAAAATGCAACCACGCAGCATTCTTTTACTGAAAACTTGATCATTTGGAGCAGAGATTGAATCTGCAGCTAAAATTACTTCCAATAATTGGATCAAAACATGATTGATAGGATATTTTTTAACCCTTTCATGCATAGTGGTCACTACTGTGGACAGCTGTCTAAAAGCCATTTTATTGTGCTTCTTGTGGATTTTTATGTCATAAATACACAGAGACCACTGAAGTGGACACTAATGCATAATAAAATATACTATCAACTACGGGCAAATGCAAGAAATTATTTTTGTTAAATCCAATATGGCCGACAGACCACATTGCTTACCAACCAACCCGTCTCTCCTTCTACTGAAGACGACTGTTGCAGGTCAAAAAAATATTGTGACATCAAATAACCCTTAAAGAAATGATACAATACTCCTTATGTATTTTTCAGATGACAGCTTTGTATTTGGAGAAAATTACAATTGATGACCTAAAAAAAAATCTTTTTTTTTTCCTACCTTTTTTTTATGCCTTAAGAAAATAAAAAAAAATTGGGAAAAAATCCTGACACAAAGACCATAATTCATGCATGAAAGGGTTAATATTTGAACCAGATAAAACTAAAACTTGGCTGCTTGAAGAGTTTCTGGAAGAACATATTGACAAGTTTTTTATTTTTTATATTCTTTGAACAATTACTGATCTGATTATGCTAGTTCAGCAAGTGACCTGAGTCTGTACTCCAGTTAATGATCGATTACTAAATTAGTTGACGATTATGTCATCATGATTAATCAGATTAATCATTCCAGCCTTAATCTCATGATGATAATCTTCCTAATAAATGTTAAAATCAACATCATGAACGTTCTCAAAGGCTGGTTATTGCTGAATGCACTAATAAATTACCCATCAACAAACTCTTAAAATATTATTAGTAAAATTAAATATTTAGCATCCTTTCACAATAACGTTATATAAATATAAAACTTCAGTAAGTTGAGTGACTAAAATGACTTCTATTTGCTGGAGTTGTTAGTGTGCAGAATTTAATTAAACTTCTTTAAAATTCACTACAATACAAACTGCTACAAAAGCTCTTTGCCGCCAATAGCCATCGCTGCCGACAATATCTCTTTAATTAAGATGCCTGAAGATAGTTTTTTTTTTGTTGTTGTTCATAAATTTCTTGATTTTTATGAGAAATCTGACCATTTCATTGTGTTTCCAACCCTTTAAACCAACTTTGTCATGATTACTACTGTATTAACTTTTGGAGTTCAGTGATCGGCTGATACTTTCATGTGAAGACGATCTCATCTCATCTGCCTCAGCAGACGTCTAAAATCGGCCACTAACCGTGTGTGTGTCTGCAGGACCTGGTAAAGAGCCACCTGATGTACGCCGTGCGCGAGGAGGTGGAGGTCCTGAAGGAGCAGATCAAGGAGCTGATTGAGCGAAACTCGCAGCTGGAGCAGGAGAACACGCTGCTGAAGACGTTGGCCAGCCCGGAGCAGATGGCCCAGTTCCAGGCCCAGGTCCAGACCGGCTCGCCGCCCGCCCCGCAGACCACCGCACCCTCTGGACCGCCCAGCGCTGCCGCCCCCGGCCTGGCCCAGCCTGCCTCGCACAGCGCCGGCCCCTCGGCGTAGCCAGATGACACAAACTGAGCGACCTCTCACGTTTTAGTGGCCGCGGCGCCGCAGTTTGCCTTCCTCAGCTGGAGGTCAACGCTGTCAAGATGAGAATTTGCACATATTTATCTCTGAAGGATGCAGCCAGCGGGACGAGCGAGTGAGCGAGCGCAGTGGACAATCTTCCTATGCTGTGGGTGTGAGGTGGCCAGGAATCATCACACGTTTGCCAAATAGCCCTCGGTCATCAACAAGAATGTGCTACCATGAAGAAACAGTCAGTGACGACGTTACGCTTTCATTAAAATGAGATCACTGTGCCTGTATCTGGGTTTGACGCTGACAGCAGCAGGAGGTTCTGGTGGTTCTGGTTGTCATTGTTTTGCTGAATGATGTAAATAAAAAGCGGTTCTTTACTGAGGCAAGATCCTGAGAGAGATGAAGAAGTTCTTCTCAGTGACAGAAAAAGATTGTGAGCCATTATTATTATTAATATCACGTCAAAGTCCCCATCTGGAATGGGGGAGGAGGTTATTTTCAACACTCTGCAGCATTGATGATGTTACTCAAACTGTGGGTTGAACAAAAACCTGGTTTCTTACGATGAAGATGATGATGATGATAAATCTATTTTCAGTATTTCCCTTTCAGGCTCGTCATTTTGCCCTCGATGAAGCTCACTGTTGCCGGCATGTTGCTTCTTCAGCCTCCATCGACACTTTGGGCTAAGCTGCATTTTTCTTTTTATTGGGTGAAAGTTCAAAGGGCAGATGTACATTTCTGTATAGTGTAAGTAGGATGTAAAAAAGGAGGAAGAGGAAGGAAGAACAGATGCTATCTAGGTCACGCAGATTGATGCAGAGGAGTCTGTGTCAGCCATCTTTAATGCTGTAATTTCTGGACTTTGGAAGGAGGGTTAGGTTATTTAACTGGCAACAACCAACAATGTTGTCCAACTCTTTTACTGCAACGTTAACTCTGACTGTACACCATTTCTCATTGCTCTTTTTGTTAAGTATTGCACCTTTTGGGGTTTATTTTTTCTTTTGTTTTTGACAGTGAAACTCTTTTGGATCTGAAAAAGCAAACTTAGGAAGAAAACAAAAAAAAGGATAAGGCTCTGAAGATGTTATTGTTTTTCATTCTGTGTATCAGTTGTATGCTCATGTTCTGTGCATGTTTCTTCAAAGACCGGATGAGATAACAAAATACCTACAATTGCACTTGACAGCTGCACTTCACAACTTTCAATAAACCTGCTTAAGAGTAAATCCTGGTCGCTGTCTTTGTCTCGGTCAACAAGATGAGTTCCATTAAACTTGTTTTCTGCTGGAAAACCTTAAAAAATTAAGTCTGAGATATTTTGACCTACTTCATGTTGCTCTTGTTGAGATTTGTATTATTCTGCAGCTCATGCATGAAAGGTGTTACGGTAATAAAAGTGAAGTTGAAAAAATTTTCATTCATAACTAAGGCAGAAATGATTAGTTGTACCTAATGTAGTTAAAAGCCAATTGCTTTAAGTATAACCACTTTACGAAAGGTAATTTGCTGAAAGAACAACGCACTCAGACCAAACGTTTAGTCAAAACTACAAAGAATATATAAATTAAAATGGAAAAACATTTGATTGTAAATTTTCTACCCAGGACTCAAGTGGCAGTTTTTCCACCTGGTTCAAATAGTAGTTTTACTGTCATATTTATCATTTTATCCTAAATTAATCTATAGGTCTGCCCTACACCAAGTCGAGCAGAAAGCGCTGAGCTTTCCTCATATTTTTGTTGCTATATATTATTAGTTTCTCGAGTTTCTCCACATTTTTACATACACTTATCACTTTACTTCCTCTTTGTGCCATTTCAACAATTCAACTTTTACCATATTCTGCTCATTCAGGACATGGCTGCTACCTCTTTTGGTATTGACATTCTCAACAGTTTATAAAATATTCAGCTTCATGCCTGCATCATCTTGGGCCCCGTTGAAATAAATGGGACATCCCATAATTTCAGAAAAAATCAGCTGAAAAGATTTTTCACAGCCAACTACTTTTCAGTTACAAACATCATTCAAACTTTCAAATGTATTGATATCCTTCAACTACTTTTGACTCCATCAGTCGTACATGTTGGTAAATCCCCAGTGGGGTCATGATGGCTGCTGGTTCCTTTCTCCATCGGGCAAGAGGTGGAGTCACCCTGGAGAGCTCGCCAGACCGTCGCAGGGCAACCAATGCACCCACACATAAAGAGAAGATATAGACCAATCAATCTGACAGCTCTTGGACTGCTGGAGGACGATGGAGAGAACATGCAAAATCACTCCATGATGGGATTTGAACCCAGGACCTTCTTGGTGAAAGGGAACAGTCCTACCAACTGCACCACTTTGGAGCCTGCAGAAGTAGGGTCTGCAAGTAGGACTCCAAAACCAACCTTCCTTTCAGCCCTCCTACCAACTCTCCTTCCCAGCTGCCATTCCTACCCCCGCAGACCTTTAGTTCTCCTTCCTTACCCGTCTCCTACCTTCAAACCATTGGAAAAATCAACCACAATATGCTGGTGCACCAATCACCATGAAGACATCGCCTGGTTTGCTCACTTACATCTAGAGTAACTAATTACTACCAGACTCTGTTTTTTTAACATTAATAATGTGCGAAAAAGCTTTGCACTACTAGTAATATTAACAATCATAATACATTTCATTTATAATGCCATTAATATATTGATATCTCAAGTGCAACAAAGGTCTAAAAACAAAACAATGAAAAAATTAATATAGAAAACATTAAGAAAGTTAACCAAAAATGCTGGTAAAAAGAAACATCTTAAGACTTCTAGTAAATAAAATATGCAATTTTCTTTAGTACTTTTCTGTCATGATACACGTTTAAATTTTCCTTAAGGGTTTTCTTTTGAAAAAGCCTCAAGTTTGAGTTGGTGAAACCTGCAGAAACCTTGCGATACATTTTTTTATGTTCTGGCTTCAGTCTGCAGTGAAATAAATGACTTATTGATATTTAGTTTTAACCACATTTTCACCAACATGTGACCCAGTTTGCAGAACAAAACAGTGATGGCTCCAACTGCTTCACATTTATTTGAAAAACAAAGAAAAAACAACAAAAAAACACACCAAAAACCCACATTCTTCATTCGTACAGTATAGAAGAAAATAACAGTTATGGCACATAGTCAGCAGGATTCATCGCCAGCTCACACACACACACCCACACACACACACACACATACAGACAGGAGCCAAGCGACGAATGAAAGTCGTTCTGCATCCGGCGTGGTTTTAGACTGTCCGTAGAAAAGCTGTCAGCACCACAGACTGCAACACTGGAAACGCTGATCGGGGGTCAGAGGTCGCTCTGTGGTGGATGAGGGCGCGAGTGTGCAGGCGATGGCTAACCGGGCCCATTGAGGGCACGGGGAGGGGGTCGGGGGTCGCGGCCCACCCCCTGTGTCACATCCCCATACGGATACTCTGGATGATCTGGAATATGGCTGACAGCCCAGAGACGCACAAGTCAGGACGTTTCCACAAGAAAACATTAGAAACTCAACGTTTGTAGAGTAACACCAAAAGAAAATGTGTCACTCTTACACTCCCACACGGTCCACACACTAAATGTCAGCTTAAGAGCTGCAGTTACATTCTGTTCAGGAGAACCTTTGAAATTTTCCACCTTTTCCTCAATGTTGCCTATTGAAATTTTAAAAATCTATTATGCAAAATTCACATTTTGCACATTTTTATACCTCCATTTAGGTCTATATTGTTTCTAAAAACAGACCATGTGTTTGAAAAAAACAGCCAGGCATTTTTGGCAGTAAGTTAAGTTTTTTTGGTGTTTAGAAAATGAGCCGTTTCAAAAACATCCTGATTGTTGAGTCACAATGTTAGTAAAACCTGCAGCCTCTCAGCTCTAGTGGCTGCAGAACACTTTAAACTAAATACAGAGCTACCAGAGAACGATTTTAAGTTAACAAATATTCATGTGAAAGAATGGCCCAGTCAAAGTCCAGACTTGCAGCAAGAATAAAACATTGGCGCTCTTTATACTTTGATTAATTCAGTTACTTTTACGATGAAGAGTAAAAATGTCTTAAAATTTGCTGTTTCGTCTTGGTAGAGCTGAATAGAGATGCATGCCACAGTTTTCAGATTTTGTTATATTTATAAAAAGAAATTTAAACCAATGCATAATTTTTTCCCTCCTGCTGGGTTTACCTGATCCACAAACAACGAATACAAAGAGGGCGAGAAGCCAGGGGCCGACGGGGTACTTCTCCTCTTGGGGTCGCTACGGGAAACACACACACACACACACACACACACACACACACACACACACACACACACACACACACGGTGTAGATTAGCACAACTTACACAAAACAAATGCATGAAGCTGCAAAGTAAAAGTGAATCAGTTTGATAAAAAAAGATGATGATGAAGGTTAAATATTTTTGTTTTCATTTTGTTTAAGCTCTTCTGCAGTTTTAAATCAAACCACTGTTTCTGTGGTGGGAATATTTTCTGCAAATATTTAACATCAATAAAATAAATATTTGGTTTCATGGTGTTAACTGCTAACCTGTATTCACACATATATGACATCATCAAACTGATTCCTCTGCAAAGGAAAAGCGTTTCTTTAAAATTGGTTTAGTCTCCGTTACTTTGATTTTTATCTATAGACTCCACAGTTTATGTTCAAACTTTTTGCCACATGTTTTACTAAAATACAAAATTTGAAAATTTGGTTCCTGTTCAAGAAATAAAAATAACCTCCTTGGAAACTAAATCAACCATTTTTTCAGTGTTCAAAAAACTAGATAAAATAGATAAATAAATAGATAAAATAAAAACTAGATTTGGGTTTTGAAATGCAAACTGGTATTTAAATGCGACATAATATTTTAACTATTTCTAAGTAAAATGGGCTGACAAACACAAAATGTACAGCAAACAAATTAACAAGTTTGATGTCTTACATTCCCATACAGCCTACCCCAGGAAGAGATCAACGTATTGATTGAGAACCAACTAGAAGTTATTATTCCAAGTTTAATAGTATTTAGTTTGTATTATTCATTATACAGCATTTCTATCATGCTGGCTTGGGTTTGGGTAGAGCGTTAACTCATGACGATTGGGGCCGGCTCGGCCTTTGATGACTCTTTGATGCGTACAACGCTGTAAAAAAAGTCTGTTTTTTGTTTTTACTTTTTTTGACACACTTACAGATTTCAAATCATTCAATAAATTTGATAATTTCAATATAACAACAGTATAAAGTAGTTTTTTTTAGCGTTGCTAATCTGCTCTTATCTTGTTTTCAGAACCAGCGATGCTCTGCGGCTGCACCAAGCTAACCCTAGCGTCTTGTTATGGACAGAAAAGTGCCGACTTGATGCAGAGTTTGAGTTTCCTTCCCACTGTGGGCTCAGAGTTGGTCGAAGGAGCGGCGTCACCATGAGGTCATGCGCTTGTTGCGTGTTTGTGGGGGAAGCCTTTAGTCAGGCAGGGATGATGTAAACAAAGCTGGAGGAAGAGAGGGAGTAGGTGGAAAACAAAAACATCTTCAGATGCCGGTTTACATGCAACTGAAAGAAGCTCCAAGATGATCCGTGACATTTGTTCTTTCCCACAGCAAATTATTTGAATCAAGTCAACTCTCATTTCTTTATATTTTGTTTCAAAAGAGCGAGAGTAAAAGGAGCAGAGGAGGAGATGAAGAGTCTAACAGATGGAACAACATGAGATCTGGACAGACGAAGACAAGGAGGATATCAGATGAGTTATTTGTCACATTTTTAATGCAACAGCAGAGAAGCAGAAACTCCAAGAGTTTGTAATTTAAATAAAAAAAATTTGTATTTAATCACTACAGATGAATTTATTCATAGTAGCAACAGATAAAAAAGGTGAGAGGCGCAGAAAAATAAAAATAGTTAAACAAAGGAGGGAAGAGAAAAAGATTCATGGGTAGAAGGGAAGGAAGGAGGAAGGAAACCAAAGAAGACATAAAAACATCAGAAAAGGATGAAGGTAAGAAGGAAGGAAAACACAATGGAAAAAAGGAATAAAGAAGGAAGGCACAATGAAGGACATAAGGAAAGAAGGAACAAAGTACACAAGGAAGAATAAATGAATGAAGGAAAGAAAACAGAAAGAATGAAAAAAGAAATTAAGCACTAAAAAGCATACAAGCAAGTAAGAATATTTTTGTTTTGTTTAGAAAAGGTTTTTGCTGTTAATCAAATAATTTTTTTTTTAAGTGATCATACTCCTGCCTTTGTTTGTTTGCAAAAGAAATTTAGGAACAGTATAAGTCCAAAATTCTGATTGCTGAATCTTTACACACAATAAAATAAATTTCTTATGAAATGACTTTAAATTGACACCATAGATTTCTGACGTGGGCTAAAGCCCCCCAGTATCTCAGAACCCTAGATCCGCCCCTGCTTTACAACAGAATATACCTGTAGCAAGCAGCAACAGTCTAAATCCATTAACGGAAATAAACAAAACTCTTCATCTGCTGTAATTCACATGATTATCACCTCCTGCCGGGCTGAACGTCCCCTGTCTGGGCTAATATGTCATGTTGGCATCTGGCTGTCACTAACGGCTCACCAGCGTCTTGGCCACGTTTCCTCTCTGCGTGATGTTCTTGCTGTGTTTCTCGTTGGCCATCCGGATCCTCTGTTTGGCCACCATGTTCCAGGGAAAGAACACAATCAGGGGCTTACACTCTGTTTAGCCTGTTATTTTCCTCTGATGCTGCAGGCTGACCACAGCACCGCCGCGTCAAGTTAGCGCAGCTCAGTTGCTAGGAGACCAGAAACTCGCGGGTCAACCTTCAAAATAAGAGCACAGAATGGATGTTTTTTTTTTTTTTTTTTTAAACAAAACAACCAGAGCGCGTCAAGAACACGAAGAAATTCCTTATAACCGTAAAACGTTGAGAAAAATGACCTTGTATTATTATGTTAAGAGGCATCCAGAGTACTGAAAATAAGTGAATGTAATAATATATTGAAACGTGTTATTCGGAAGGGCATTTAAAGGAACAGCTCCGCTTTTCGTCGAGCAGCTTTTCAACGGTTAGCTTTGCACCTGGCGGGCATGAGCCCGGGGCTGCACGCGATCAACACATCTTACTTGTTTTAACGCGTAATTTAATAATCAATCCATTTATTTGGCCTAACATTCACATATGAAATTATATTTATATGTGCTGTGAACGCAGCAGAGCAAATTAAAATTGTTTGTGCATACAAACTAGACCGAATTTGATATCAAAATTTTGAATGTTTTATAAAAGTTAGGAAGAAATGCTTTTAAAAATTAGTAGAAAATATGCCTATTATTAACTTCCTCAGATTTTCTCTGACAATATACAGCAAAATCATCCTGCTGAAAATCATTAACATTTACAACAACTGTTTGAAGAAACTTGGATGTTTCAAATTACTCTAACATTCAACTTCTGTTTTTAAGGTTATATTTTTAATTAATTCTAAATATTCTTGAATTTGGTTTAAGTAAACCAAACAAATCTTGAAAATGTAACAATATTCTGTCATATAATTAAATATATAATTTTATCTTTTACTTCCGAATGTGTATTTATTTGATGTACATTTTACAAAAATATAGTTTGAATTTACAAGTCTTTTAGAATTTAAAGTTGCTATTAAATTTCCATATGTTAAAAAATCATGTTTATATGGATATTTTTGTTCTATTTTTATTTGTTTTGGAGCATAATTTGGTATCTGCCATATTTCATAAGGTTGTGTTAATAATTGAATAACATTAAAATGTAGAAAAATTTGGCTCATGTTTTCCAACAGATGACATGTCATCTTCCCCTTTTTAAAAAAAATAATAATAATTTCAGTTTTTATTGAAAGAAGAGCAAAAGAGAGCTGGGAGTGAAGATGGGAAAATAATTTTCTGCCCTACATTCACAAATGTAAATATGTGGATTTCATGCTGTATTTTTTGTTTTATTTTATTTTTCTAAAATTGTATTTTTCTGAAACGTTCAAAGATTGAACGTTTCAGTGAAAAACTCGTAAGCATGGTGAAGGGTCTGTCATGCTGTGGGCCAGTTTCTCTCCCAAGGGACCAGGAACATCATGAACTGTTTTACAAACAGATTTAAATTAAAATCAAATAAAACAAATTAAAATGAGTCATCAATGGTTCCTTCAGCAGGATATTGATACAAAACTTTAAAAGCAGCAGCCTGACCATGAAGGACAAATTTTTATCTAATGTAAAGGGTGAACATGTTTTTGTTTTTACTCTCTCCCGGCTCCCAGCATCTCTCCCGGCTCCCAGCATCTCTCCCGGCTCCCAGCATCTCTCCCGGCTCCCAGCTTGCTGGATGCTGGGAGCCGGGAGAGACAGAGCAGCGGTTGCTTAGCAACTGAACCAAAGACTTTGCTTAGAGGAAAAAATATAAATAAATAAAATAAAAAAAACTCCAACAGGGAAGAAAAAAGGAAAACAGACGAACTTGTCGAAACAGTTGATTCATAATCAAATGACGAATATGACAGCTTGTTGACTTTATGAACACAATTGATAAGGAATAAAAGAGGAAAAATAAAATCATTTTTATTGTTTTATTAGATCAAATTCTATAGGCTGCTCTGCTAACTGGCCAATTACTCACTTACAGTAACTGGTGAAACTGGAGGCCGGCGTTCTGTCCGATTAGCATACCCTATCAGAATAACCTACATGCAGTGAGTACGCATGCGTGCGCATGCGCCTTAATAGGTCCGCGACATTTAGAGGAGCTATCAGATCAGCATACCCGACAAGAGCAGAGAGTGAATTTGTATTTTTTCACATTTGGTCATGTTATCACTGCAGAACTACATGTATTTTATTTGGATTTTATGAGACAGACCAACATAGATGACACCAAGACGTTAACTTTTTGACGGACATGTAAAGCGATCCCCTGATGTTTGTGGAGGAAACCCCGTGTAAAAACGGTTCTAACTCTTGATGTTTGTGGAGGAAACCCCGTGTAAAAACGGTTCTAACTGCATATTTTAATTATTCAAACACCAAATGAACCAAGTGGCTCCTTCGACCTCCTTAATAACTTTGGCAAAAAAGAGAGAAAAAAAACACAGAAAAATAATGTTTTTGAATGTAGACATAACAAATGCAAGTTTAGGAACCTTTTGAGTTTATTCAATAATTTTCATTGAATTTTCATAAATAATGACACCAATGAGACTAGTAATATATTGTTGTCCTCCCTTTTTAATAGATTGAAAACAACAAGATTTTTAAAGTCCTAACATAATTTCCATCCCACAGAACATAAAATCCAAATTGAAATTGATTTTGATTTTCTTTTCTTTTGCCTGATTTTGTTGTCATTTTGGTATTTAAAGTACTAAAATTTCCACAAAACTTGATATTTTAGTCTGATCATGTAATTTTTAAATATGAAGTTATTGATGTTTTTGATCAGTTAAGGAGTTCTTCAGTAATCGTTTTTACCAAATACTTTTCTACTCGAGTAATTGCTGCTTTTTGCTTTTAGTTTAGTAAAAATATTTTTGAAGAGTTCAACTTTTGGATACTCTTCACACCTCTGTGAAATTTAATTTAATTTAAGCCAAGTTGAACTGACTGTGGATGTTTAGTTTTATTTGCAGCTTAAATAAAACTACTGAGAGAAGGATTTACTCCAGAGTTAATTTAAAAAGCAAACTGTAATCTTCTGTTTATTCTCCACTGTAAACAGTCTGTAACCTGAGAAAATGACTGACCTAATTCATAATGTTTACACCCTGCAGTACCTGCTGCAGTAATTATGGGCCGAGCACACCTTGTACAGCTAAATCATGCACTTCAATGACTGCAGCACCGGAGAGTAAACAGTAGTTAACGGAGGCAAAACACAGCTGAAACCTTAGAGATTAATTCAATGGAAGGAAGGAAATATTTGATGTCTGCGTTTACAAGTTTGACGTAAACAACATAAGTCTGTGTGAAACCGCACAGAAAAGTGTGAGTCTTTTCAAACAAGGCTTCTTCTTCTCTTCCAGCGTGTTAACTCCCACCAGCCTTGAAGGCACCGCGAAGGACAGAGGTCCATGTGTGGCTCCACTTAGAGAGGAAAACGCCCAAAGCTGCACCTATTCAGCAGAGAACGTCTTCCACAAATTACTCCTATATACACAATAATTCTTTCTGTGTTACTATTATTACTAGATTATTGTTATTTAGCTATCATTAGTTTATCCTTCTGTTTTTGAAATAGATAAATGAAATTACCCAAAAATAACATGGGACAATATCTTAAGGACTCACTCACATCTGTGAAGGTCAAAGTTCAGGATTCAGTAATAAAACCACACAAAAAATGTTCATTTCATATTTTCCCAAAACATCTTAATGATTTCCAAGAGTTTGGGGAAATATTCTGGAGCTACAATCCATCCAGAAAGTATTCACACTTTTTCCACATTCGTTATATTAAATGAATCTATTTCTGCACAGGAAAATGTGTGTATAAATGTCACTAGATTAGCAGAGTTATCAAACGTTAGAAGGAGAGAAACTTGACCCGTCTGGTTTAGCTGCAGGTAAAGTTTCAGAGATTCTTGGAGGATCTTGTCGTGCTCCTGGTGTCGTCATCTGAAACCCGACGGACTCACAACCCTGCTGCACAATCCGGAGCGCTTTAATCTGCGTTAGCGTGGATGCAGATGTAATCTGGACTGGGCGACTCAGCACTTCCTCAACATTTCATCAACAAGTTTGAATGAAACTTCGTTATGAAATCAAAATCAAATGAATTAACAGAGCAAAATGAAGTAGTCTTTTGAAAAGCTACACAGCAAAAAATAAATTACAGCAATACTTTTTAAGTTAGAGAAAGAAAAAGAAAAGGTGTTCATTTTTCAAAGTCACTTTTTCACCATGTTATTGATACATTTATAAATGTCATAGCTAAATATTTAGCGTACAATCTAAATACCAAGCTTGCAAATTACATATTTAACTAAATTAATTACTTATCTAAATGTTCAAGTGTCTTCAGTCAGATGCGTATTCGAATTTGCTGTGATACAGACTGCTACAGGAGATCTTACCTGCTAACAGCCTGACAACTATTATTTACTAAATAATTATATACTAAATAATGTAGCAATTACTTAGTAATAATAAATACTAAGTAATTATTATTACTAATTATTATTATTTAGTAATTAATACTAATTACTAAATTAATCATTTAGTAATAGTTACTAATTGATTAATTTAGTAATAATGAGTAATTATTTCTAAATTAGCAGTTAGCTCTGTAGATCCTCAAACATCACCATCTATTATTTTAACAAAAATAATTTTTAATTATTGAAAGTAATCAATAAAAGAATTAATTTAATTACTAATTTATAAAACATTAAATTTGTAATTATTTATTTCATCTCAATATTTAGCTGCAAAATATACAAAAAATGTAATAATATTTAGCTTACAAAATATTTAGTAAGTTTAAATTCAATATTCTGCAAAAACAGGAGCTTTATAACAGAAATGAAATGTTGCAGTAAATGAATTTTGTGCAACTTGACCAAAAATGTTGAAAGATAGGGTCTAATTTAACTTTTTCCATACTTTATGGAGGCAAAGACCTCTATCAATGGATTCACACACACACCCACACAAAGAAAAACAAGAACATTTTCCACAGAGATACTTTCTCCATCTGCGTCTCAAAGACACATGACGTAGAAAGAGGCTTATTTTTAACATCTGTTAGATTTAGCGTACGCGCTTGAGTGTTTATTTTGGAGAA